CTATTTGATCACATACAAAAAACGTGGTAATACGCATTTGCTTCCTACTTGGATCGTAAGATAATTTGATAACAAAATCGAGAAAAAAGATGAGCTTGAATACTATTGAGCCGTTTGGCGTGAAGTTAGTTTTCTAATAATTTAAAGATAATTTTTGTCTTTATCTATCTCGAATCTATAAGAACATTCCTAATCAAATAGTTGTACCTATCGGTACAACAAAACTATACTCTAAATTTACAATTTTTTTTTTATTTATATGATATTTACAACTGTATAAAAAAAATACATCTAGGAAATTCGCACATGGATATTATGCCATGAAACAGTTGTTGAGAAACTACCCATTGGCAGCACTCTAATAATATGTCTATATTAGGATATCACGTGGCCATCTTCTTTTTAGACGCCTCGGAGGTTTATCAGGAATTGAATACGAAGCAAGGTTAGAAACAAGAGGGTTGGGATGGTTATGAAGTTTATTATGGAAGGACAGATATCTGGATTGGGCCATATCTGATACATATGGAACATTAAGGTCATTGTGGATGATTTTATTTGTAATAAAGTAAGGAGCATTGAGGATTTTACGAAGGATTTTGGATTCTAAGGATTGGATACGAGAGGAATTTGAAGGTTTGTGGAGTCCCATAGCTCAACTCCGTATGTCCAAATAGACCTTATTATAGTCGTGTAAATGAGTCTTTTGTAATTAATTTGAAGGTTAGAACGTTTGTCTAGCAAGTGTTGAAGTAATCGGAAACGTCGAGCTGTTTCTTGTCGTTTCAGTCTGGTATGAGGATTCCAAGTTAGACGTTTGTCCAGGTGGAGTCCTAGGTAAATTTACAATTTTAAATAAAAAAAAAAAAAAAATGGATGTTTCATGGACTTTAAATGTGTCTTGGCAGAGCGAGGAGTAGTTCTATAAGGCAAATTCAAGAAAAATACAATAGCATCAATATATAAGTTTTAAAACCTAAAAATTCTAAGAATTTTCCTCAAGTATGTCAGCTACTGGTGTTTTTATCCTATACATGATCCATGCTGAATTTTCATCATTTACATAGCTTATTTATTCATTGTTCATCAGATTGGTTTTAGTGAAGTTCCTTTATTCTCAGTAATTCACCGTGTGATTTTTCATTATCTTTGACTGTTAAAAACTAAAAACATACTACAGTTTAATTTTTTTATATTCCATTCTTTTATGTATTATTACAATAGTATGTTTAATAGATTATTTATTTCAGACAGATTAGTTAATTAGTTGTTATATAATTATATCGTTTTTAATATAATATTATTGTAAATCATCTACTGTACCTGTACTTTATTGTATAAAATTGCGGCAGACGAATCTCCATGCCGTAAGATGTATTGTATTTCTTTTCATAGTTAAATTTTGTAATGCATATTCCATGAAACATTAATTATAATAATTTTGGGCTAATACCAAAATCAACTGTGGGAGGTACAGATAGTCTGAGATTATTTCTTCATGTGCTAAGAGAGGTAACACAATCGGTTCTCTTGGACAAGTCACGGATTGTTCGGAAATTTTAAGATAAAAATAATATGAATGTGGCTGGAAATGGTCTCCCACCTCAGTTATTCAATCCGCAAAAGCGAGAAAAACATAATAAATAGTAATAATAATATAAATAGATATAACCTGTTTTATTTTTTTTTTCTAGATTTGCTAAAAATTGTTATGACTTGAGAATTTTTTTTAAATTTAAAAACAAATAAGGTTTCCTACTTTGAACTATTGGACTGAGAAGTGTAGAATTCTGGGAAGTAGATATCGTGACTCCTTCTGTTTAGAACTCACGCTTGGACACTATCAGTCATCAGTTTTGTCCCAGTGTGTGGAACATGTGTTTGGAGGAAGCAGAATCGATCGAGCCGCTTGTTCAAGGCGCTTGATATGGAAATTGTGAAATGTTTAGATTTTAAGGCGGATTATCCTAAGCTCATGTTACTTTAAATAATATTTTCAATGGAGAGGATGGTCTGAGGTATAACGTTATTTTATTTTAGATTATCATATTCAAATTTAGAGCTTTTCCAGACACAGAAATCTGTGGGAAGCATTTGGTATTATCTATTTTTTTAAAAAATAGTTTGTTTATATATCCATTGGTATTGAAATAAAATAAAAGCTGCGCACACACACAAGCATACATATTTACAAAATATTTCGACTAATGTTTTAATCTTCAAAGAGGATTACAGGAATGGTTGGAACTAAATAGAGAAGGTTTTGAGACGAAGCACAAGCGGATCTACGGGGGGAAGGGGAGGGAGAAACTTTCGGGGTGAAGCCCCCCCCAAAATGGTAAAATATAATCATGTTTTACAGAAAAAAATATTAAAAATTATCTCTCAATGTATTCTTGTTTGTTAAATTACATATATTAGGACATCAAAAACCACTTAAACACCATATCAAATAGGTAGTTAATTTCTTTTTTTTTTTTTCAAATTAATTATCGTTATTTGTATATGAAAAAAAATCTTTCGGGCTGAAGCACCCTCCAAAATTAAATTTTAGATCCGCTAATGGGATGAAGAGTAATATTTTAATGGATTTAGAGAGTTTGTAAAAATAAATCGGATACTGAGGACATAATGTATATAATATGGTTTGTCACTAATTATGGATATTTTATCATTACTCGAATGATTTCGGAAGGAAAGAATTGGATGCATTTAATGATGAATATTGAAAAGCTTGATGATCCGCTACAGTTCAAACCCGTTAGTCCATACAGATTTGGTAAATAATCTATTAGTTCGTGGTACAGACCCCTTTTTATCAAATTATTAACACCCTGCTGAAACTTCGTAAATAGCTTCATCTCGACGTAACCTTCAAACATTTTATTTACGAAAATTCTTGGAATGTCTTTTTTTTTCAATCTGGCGGTCGGCAAACTTTGTCTATTTAATTAGGTACTAAAAACTAGTTAATACCCATTATCTTGCCACTTTAATCGTGAAATAACTTGAGCACGAATTCGAGGAAAAAAAGGTGGCCTTCGAAAATGATGACACCTCCAAATTGTCAAAATAACGAGGTCATATAGGCGAAATGGCTCAATATTGTTGAAGGCCACATTTTTTCTCTATTTTGTGCTCAAGGTATCTCACGATTACAAATGGGTATTTACGAGTTTTTAGTACATAATTAAATAGGCAAAGTTTGCCGACCTTCAGATTGAAAAAAAAAAACATTTCAAGAATTTTCGTAAATAAAATGTTTGAAGGTTACGATGAGATGAAGCTATATAAGATGTTAAAAATTTGATAAAAAGGGGTCTGTAGCACGACGGACTATATTCTTAAATTATTGGTTTTTCATCGATTGGAAAGTGAGGCGTTCTATTAAGTTATTGGAGGAAGTTAGTCAATTGTTTTATATATTATGGTCAATAAATAGTCAGAAAGAAGTCAGTTTTCAAAATTTTTCAAACATTTAAACACTTGAAAACCTTCAGTACCGTTAACATGCTCTGATGAGGAACCACAAGCTTGGATTGGCAATAAAAATCTTAATAACTGACTGCGTCCTCACTATCTATCAGTTATCCACCCCTTATATTCAGTTATCTATATATTTAGCGACATTGTAGGTTAAGATTTTGTCTTTTAAATCACTTATGGGAGATCCACGTCCATTCAAATATCTGCGTAGATGCAATCTTAAAATATGATAATTAAAAACGCATGCCTAGCAGTATCCGTAAAGCGTCCTCACCGTTTCGATTGGTAACATAATCACTTATATTTCGAGATCTATGATTTGTCGTTTGGGAATAGAACATGTAGAAGAAGCCATTATTTAAGTATAGTATCGCCAAAAAAAAAAAAAAAAAAAAAAAAACTAACGCCTAAGCGAAAGAAGTAGACGGGGATTTGATAATATTGATGTCGGATGATCTGGGTATAACATTAACACTCCTTGAAAATTTCATCAAATCGAATTTACGGCAGTGGTATTATGTCCATCACATGGATTCAACGAAAATTAAATTAAATTTAAGAATATGGTCTAAATTGTATATAACTATATGTTCGAGTGTGGTGTTAAACAAGGCAACTAATGCCGTGAAACATTTTATTTTGATTTCATACACATTACCTTCCATATACACCCTTTCCCTATCACCGCAATGCTCCTTGCGAATCTCCCATTGTCCGAAACACAGCTGGAAGTCTTCTTCTATCAGCTATTTCAGCAAAACCGTTACTATAGTAATGCTGATTAATATTTTGACTTCCAGAAACTTAGTGAAGGTCAGAGATGGGCCAATGCTACTCTGAGTAATGATTAATCATTTTACTCAAACACTGGCCTTTTTTAGTAGCTACTAGTAATAGTTTTTAATAGCTACTTCAGTTGATGTCAAACGATTACTTTGATTCTTAGCAGATAAATGATTTTAACATCCCTCACGCATACAAATATCGGTAAAAAGCAAACATAATTTATACTCCCAACATTCCCTACATGATTTACATTTAGTACATTCTGGACCTTTAATTGTTCTTGAGGAACAGTGTGATTAGTGCAATAATGAAATGAAAAAATAATTTTATTCTGGGACTAAGAAGTCCCCTAAGAATAATAACAGTGTTACAAATTTATGGGTATTAGTCTGGCTTAAAATAATAAAAAATGCAAACTAATATACTGCTTATTGTTATTGCATTTGTGGAATAGTTGACATTACAGAGTATACAGATACAAGTAATTTTACGTATTAGCGGAAGTTTGAATGTGGAGTAGGTGTTGGAACAGGAATCGTTCGAAGAAATTTGTGGACGAGGATTGACTGTAGGAAGAGAGTTCCAAAAGGATGAAATGACCAAGGATTTGCTGAAGGATGTAGGCGAAAATAAGGAAAATAAACAATTATTTAAATTAGATCTATTACCTATAAATGGATAGTTCAAAATTAATATACAATGATTGTTTTAATTCAGATTGTACCTACCCTGTCTGGAAGTCATAGAGCAACCCCTGGAGGATGCATTGAGTGTGAGGGTGGTTCCAGCCGTACCCACGCTCCAGCAGCTTCTGGAGTTCTGCCTCGAGTACGCCGAGATCGTCCTCGTCAAGTGAGTGTCTGAAAGATTTAACATTATATTTAACATATTATTATTAATAATTGTTAAACTAGGATAGTGATTAGTAAACAATAAATTATATGTTCGAAAAAGACAAGATGAGTCAGCAAGATCGGGCCCAAACCAATTTTCATTTATTTAAATTTTATCGGCTAATGAAAAATCAAAACAAATCACTAATAAACATTATTCCATGCATGTATTAGCTTTTCGGTTATCCAAGTTTAATTTTTATAAATATTCGAAAATATTATAATTAAAAAATACTACCATTAACTTATAAACAATATAGCCTTCCTCTTGGAAGTGCGGCAGTTGCCCTTGTTTTTTTGTTTTATATCTTCCTTTAATGAGGTCTCCATCATTTTCAATAAGTTGAATAGTACATCCCTATTGACTACTTTGACTCTGTATACTTCATCTTTGAACCAGCTCTATAAACAATAATCCAGTAATATGGATGGAGTCCGTAGATGTTGAAGGGCAACTAATTGGACCACTGCGACCAATCCAACGACCTGAACGACCTTTCATCCAAATTTTGCCTGATATGAAAAGCAAAATCAGCGGGTGCTCATCAGCTGATAGTACATTTGCATTCTGATGTTTAGAGGAACATCCTCTAATAGTTGTTGCAATTTATTCCATACAAAAATTAATTAGTTGCCTCCTGTTTGTATTTAAATAAATGAAAATCGGATAAGAACATACGAGTTTTTCAAATTATTTTTCTGTGTGCACCTCACTCCTCGAGTTAGTCCCGTTTCTGACGTCATATGCAGTATATAATTTTATTAATTGCATTATCGCTACGAGATACATATAATAGCATTTCAAGACTTTTCACTTATTTTTAATTTACATTCATGTAAAATTTGAATGATTACTTAATTATTTATGTAACGAAGTTAATCGTTTAGTAGAAGATTGCTGTACATTGATAAAAACTGCCTTTTAGAACTACAGGTCATGTACAATTGCTTTTTTTATTGTAAACAACCACAATTTAAGAAAACGTTGTTTTTAAAATGATTTCAAAGCTTACAAATTAAAAACACAAGTCTAGATAAATTCTGAATAAAATGAGTGGAACTTGGAAAGTGAAGTTAAATTAGATATTAAAAATTATATAGATATATATTAAATATAATTAAATTTTTAAATTGTATGACCTTTATTATTTATTTATTTACCGCGATACAGGCTAGATATTGACCACGCATGTATTATTTATAGGTTTTTGGCCAAATTCTTCCATCTCCCTCCTTTTCCCTTTCTATTTCTTACCGCCTTATTTCTTATTCTTCGCTACAAGAATCTTTATATTTCTAGCTATTTTCCAATTTTTCATCCTATTTTGGTAGCCTTCCTCTTTGATACCCTTTCTTTCTAATTTTATTTGTTCTGGATATCCTTTTATATTCTGTAGTCTCTATAATTTATCAAATATCAGTTTGTTTAACCTATTCCGATCTATTCTCTTCTTATGTCCGAAGAATTTTAGTCTCTTTTTTCTCATTGATGTCTGTAAGTTTTCAATATATTCATAAAGCTCACAGTTATTTTTTAATCGGCATTATTTTCCTACTCTTCTTGTCTGCTATATTATTTTTAGTATCTTACTTTCTATTGATTTCATGTTGGTAAATCCCATCGTCTCTTCTCTATGGAGTGTCGTCGGTTTTATGACGGGTTCGTTATGTTTAATTTTAGCTTTCCTGAAAATGCCCTTTTTTTATACAAATTATATATATAATAATCTTAATTTATACAACTTTACTTCCATACTCTGTGTCGTTTGCATGTTCCAATCCATTGTAGTCCCCGATTTCCAGCACGTTACACGTGGCCTCCGTGACGTAATTGCGACCTCCAAACATTATTGCGCGATATTTATTAATCAATCGCTAGAATTAATTAATATTTACTTATTTAGGTTACGATAATTTGAAAATTAATAGAATTTTTTTACTTATTTTTTTATTTATTGAGTATTACAACAATCTGTCACATGGACACTAGTTGTAGTGATGTAGGATAACATTCACACTATATGTACAAAAAATATAAAATGAATAGAAGCAAAATAACAATAAATAATAATCAAAAAGTATATACAATAAATAAAATAAAATCAGCTAAAAATAAACAAATTAAAACAAAGCAAAAAACACATGCATACCTATATACACTTTTTACAATCAGGCGGGGAAACTCCAGGAGAACCCTACGCTACTCTCTCAACCGCCTCACATAGAATTAAGTTGAATATATGTATATGGGTGTGTGTATTTTGTGACAAATAAAAGTAGGAACAGTAAATTATAAAAAAAATGTCGCAGGCTCTATTAGCGCTGCCATAACCTCACTGCGGCCTCTAATGAAATAAAGGTCCCCCATCTATGGTCTGTGTATTTAAACTGTTTCAACGACCTGATTGTTCCTTATTTAGTCTCTAATTTTTCCTTTGTTTCCTTCTCATCCAAATCCACACATCCATACATCTCCACACATATATTATTACAGTAAGGCTCTAAATCGGTTTTGCATCAAATATAAGCTCCTGTCATGCTCAGATACTATGAATGGGGTACCGTTGGATTCAGAATTTCACGGGGGGTCAGCGAATCGTATTCTCTACTTTTGTTTTTCTTTCTAAAATAAATAAAAGCGATACAAACATTTTGCTAGGCTTCAATACTGGAACGGTTCCAGGTCTGTAAATCGCAGCGGGACAAATTGGACCTTGAAGATTTTAATGCGTACAGCAAGATCCGGAACTATCCGACTCTACGTTTTTAAGCCCCAAAACGTACTATTTTCGAGATAACGCAAGGCATAGGGTTCGCATCCACACAACCTTACGTTAATTGTAGTACTGTCATTGAATACATGTCTCATTTCGTCGACTTGAGGTCTCTATGACCGAGAGAAGAGGAGTTTATATTATTTATCGATGGTGTTTTTGATCGGCAAGCCATATCATCGTTAATTCTTCACCAAATCTCAAAATTGAGCTACCAATTTCGAAGACTTCCTTCTCGTTCAGGAGGACAAAATAGTCCAATCACACCGAAAATTCAGGCAAACAAGTTATGAAAGACTAGAAACTTTATTTGAGAATAACTAAAAAATTACAAACTCTTCTCTTGGTTATTCCCATGATTATGTAAAAGATTACTAAATTCCCTACAAAAGGAAAAAAAAAATCATCGAAATCGGACAATTTTTAGCAAAGATACACCTTATTGAAATTTGTAAATATTTTGGTTCCAAACAAAAATGAAGATTTAAATTAATTTTTTTTTCATTTGTCGATTATATTTATCGATAAACTAACAATTGATTCCTGTATATTTTGATACGTTGCATTACTGATTTTCTAATTAATATGCATTTGATAACAATATGCTGTGCGAATTTTTCGCACGGGCCTACTAGTTAGTTATTATTATTTCAAAGATATTTTTAATATGGCTCTTGCTGCTATTCATTTTATTTTATTAATCTGACTAAGCGACTCTTGTTCACTTTCCTCCACAAGCGCTAGAACAATTTTTATAAACTTAGTAAACTTGAATGTTTTTTTAAACATATATATATATATATATATATATATATATATATATATATTTTTTTTTAATTTAATTTATTTTGTTTTACCTTCAAGCTATTCGTAATTATAAATTTAAGTTATTATTATTTTAACTGTTTCTTTTGAGAATTAATTCTTTTCCTCGAATTTGTATAGAATCTATCTACTAAGAAATGTTTTATAAAATCTCATAGCTGCTGTTCATCCTGTATACTTAATAATACTTTCCGATACGCTCATATCGAATTGAATAATACACTGAATGGATTTGGTGAACTAATTGATTAAAATTATTCTGAAACCCCTAAAGGAGAGAGAAGCAGTAATTATCCTGTCAAAGCTTGATGTTGAATGGGATGCAGTTGAAGCAGCACTCGATAGGGCAGGTGTTGGAGACGTGGTTTAGTTGAAGAGGGATCTTGCCCCGCAGTCGAGTTGTTGTCCAAACAAATTCACAATAGGCAAGATCATCTTTGTAAAACCGTTTACGATCCTACACTAAATGGAGGCTAAACAACTGAAGTAAGGGGTTATTTAAATATTTTCAATGTACTAATTGGCCTGTGCGAATAATGGTAGTATAATATTGAAATAAGTAAAAGTAATGCATTATAATAAAATAAATAATAAATATAATAAGAAAATATTATACGTTTTAATGTGCAAACAAGTTATATTTTCTTCATAATTGTTTCTGTGTTTTTTACTTCGGGAATGTGCTTACTTTTCGCAACTGAAGGATAAGGTAATCTTCAAAATGATGACTCGTTCATAGAATTTTATGAAGTATTAATACTTTCTTAAGCAAGATATGTTCTGAAGGCAGCGTTGGCTGAGAGTGTTAAGGCGCCATAGTAGCCCTTGAATCAGGATTGAAAAAGAGACTTCATTGTAGGCCACAGACGGATCTACGGAGGGAGGGTCTTTGGGGCTGAAGCTCCTCCCCCTCCCGAAGTGGTAAAATATAACCATGTTTTTATGGAAAAAAATTCTAAAAAGATATCTCTTGAAGTATTACTGTTCGTGTAATTACATTTAAAAGGACTTTAGGAATCACTTAAACACCATTTCATATAGGTTTGTTAGTTTCTTTCTTTTTTTAAAAAATAATTATCGTTCTTTGTTTTTTGGCGATGATGACTTCCAATCGAACAACAATTGAATTTATTCGTTGTATTTCCAAATTAAATTTTAATGATTCGGAATATTTACTTCCATAGTCAGAACTCCCAATGTTTTTGTTGATTCATAGCTAAATATTGAGTTAAAGTATAGTGCATGTTACAACACATGTCAGAATTGGGTTGTTACATTAAATTTGTAATTACCTTAAATCTAATGTGCTCCATTGTCAGATTCTAAATTCGTGTTATAATAAATTAAAGTATATAATATCCAGTTATT